ATGTGATTACTGTTAGGTCTTCCCATGCCACAGGGCAAGGACCATGTCTGTCCTGTGCATAGTCACAACCTTGGTTATCAGCAGTGTCTGACACGTAGGAAGTCTTGAATAAATATTTAGTGACTGGGATGGGGAGCAGAGTGATGCACAGAAATACATGTGGAGGGTACACTGAGCTGTACGTATTTCCCCTCTGGAGGTATAAGGAGACATCCAGGATTTCGAGGAACACTATTTGAGCCTAGCATCTTTCATTGTCAATCAGGACGAATAAGCCTTAAGGCTTTCACAACATGGTCTGAGTTTTGCTAGCACTAGAAACCAAGTCCTTTATGGAGACCAGATGGGTTTTGCAAAAGCAAATCAGTCCTCATCACAGTGAGATGCATGTCTGATTTCAGAGAGCCTGGGAGGGAGCAGTCTTTATAGCTGGGAATAGGATCCTTCCCTTGTCCTATTCTAACCCCACCCCCTGCCAACAACAGCAGATTCCTGACACAGACTCGGCAGACTGGAGGCAAGGGTGGACATCCAGCGTGGTGGATAGAGAAGGGTGGATGGGACAGTCTCTGGCACAGGACAGGGCTCCTGTTCCCTGTCATCTCAGTCCCCAAACACGTCATCCAGGGAGCATCACCAACACCCACATTTAGAACACTCTGCAGAGCGAGGGTCCCCTCACTGATGAGGATCCGGCCGCAGACCCTGTCTCTCCCACTCCATCCCACTCCAGAGTGGCTGACCCCGCTGGCAGGACTGATGAGGGGGACGGCTACAAGGTCAGCGAGTCTAGACAAGAGAACGGCACTGTCGGGATCACACCTGAGCACTCAGAAACCAACCGATGGTTGGCGCCGCACGTCATCTCCTTCTCTACTCTGTAGGCCGGGTGGGTGTGAGGCCGTTCTCTCTGGATCTAGAGCTCTAGAACCACAGCAAGGGGAGGAACGGAGCTTGTGAATCGCCTCTCAGTCCACACCAGCCCCCACAAGGATGGCTTGACAGGGAAGTGTGAGCGTCCACGGCCAGGGGAGCAAACCACCTCTCTGGCCTAGGCTGGGATGGGCTGTGCCTGCCCTTGCCCCCCGGCGGACAGGACTCTGTGGATTTCCACAGCTGCCAATTCCCCTCTGCTGATACTCTTCTTTTAGATTTGTTCTAGCCCTCCCCAGCTCTCCCTCGCTCCCGTGGCCCTGGAAGTGGGTTTACCAGTGTCTGCTTGGTCCCTTAGCGGTGAATTTATAACCTCACTTGCAGAGAACAAGCAAGCCCCTCTATTTGCAAGTCCTCTGAGGACAGATCCCTGTCTGCTGCCCAGTACCCTTCACTAGACACTGGGGGCTCTCGCTGATCTCACGATGCTGTCACTGACCTGGTAGCTGGGGGCCAGCCCAGCAAGATGAAGGCCTTTGGAGCCCCTTCCGCAGAAGCCAGCGGAATAGGCCCCTGCAGAGGTGTTACATGGCAATTTAAAAGGAAGATGAAGTAACTTGCTCATGGGAGAGCTCTCTGGGAGATCGCATTCATTTAGACTTGTTTCTCATTACTTTTCAGACCAGGCCTTCTCTTCCTATCTTTGCAAAATTGGACTAAAGGATTTCAAGCATCAGCTTAACTACTGAATCATGATTTTGCAAGTCGTTGTTTGGTGTCACGGGGGACAAAAACCCAACTCACACAGGTTTATACGTAAAAGCAGGACTTCATTGGCTGACAAAACTGAAAGGTGGAGAGGCCGTTCGCAGCAACCCACGAGGATGGTTCTGGAACCTCAAGGGATGGCATCAGGTACCCACCCGCCGCCTTCATCTCGGAGCTCAGATTCTTCTATGTCAGTGTACCCTCATGAAAGGCTTGCTCCTGGTAGCGTCAGCCCATAAGCCATTAGCCCATCATAATCAGCAGAAAAAGAAAGCCCTTCACTAATAGTCTAGCTAGGGTTACCAGTCTTTGCAAAAACTGGGAACAGGCTTACACTAAAAAAGTATTCCCTGTTGATCCAAAATGCAAATTCTGTACTTTGTCTGGCAACCTCAGTCCAGCACAGGTCCCAGGACCTGTTTGAACCACCTGGCCAGTTGGAACCACATACCATCCCAGACCCCAGTCACTGTGGTCAGGAGGATGGGTTACGCCAAGCAGCAGACCAGGGTCACCTCCTTATCTTTCGAAAGGGGGCAGCATAGTCAGTCCTCTGAGTATCCACGCCCCAATAGCAAGAGGTGGGTCCCTTCCCAAATAACTGGGATGCCAACCCTAGAAGAAGGGGAATGAAGCCGGTACAAGTGAAAAGAACCCATGTCCACACAGTGATCCGGAAGGTCCCAGACAACAGTGAAAAGTAAAAAACTCCACAGTGGCTTTATGGCACACCATTTTCACACCATTCCTTCCTTGCCACGCACACTCCTGTCTGGTTGGCCGAGCAGGTATTAGAATCCCTCCCTGCATGAGTTTGCTACAGCTGCCGTGACAATGCACCACAGACTGGTGAGCCTAAACAACAGACAGCTATCTTCAGACTATAATTCTGGAGGCGGAAAGTCCACGGTCAAGGTGTCAACAGGGCGGGTTTCTTCCAAGGCCTCCCTCTTGGCCTTGCGGATGGCCATCTTCTCTCCGTGTCTTCACGTGGTCCTTCTGCTGTGTGTGTTGTGTGTCTGTCCTAATCTCCACTTCTTAGAAGGACGCGGGTCATATCAGATTAGGACCCACCCTAATGGCCTCATTTTAACTTAATTACTTCTTTGAAGACCCTCGCTCCCAGTGAAAGATCAAATAAAATGGAGTCACTTATGTCAAGGGGTTTTATAAAGGGAGCCAGGAGACCATTAAGGAGGTGGGCCTTACACTCATCCTCACTGGGTAGAACTTTGGCACTGGGCCAGACCACAGATATCCCAAGGACTCTGCGTGAACACCTGCAGCGGGCTACAGTAACAGACTTTTGCTTAGTGATAGCCTTGGCAACCAATTACATCTCGCCAACATTTGCTTTCCGCCACCAACGCCAATCCGAATTCTTTGTAAATGACCTATGCAGGCATTCCCCTTTGTCTTTAGGAACCCAACTCCTGTTCTCTCGTGGGACACAATTTGGGCTGCTACCCAAACCTGTGCCCCCCAAATTGCAATTAGGGTCAAGACTTCAACATGGGAATTGGCATGGGGATGCTACCTTCTCCTTCATTTATTATTATTTTTTCCACGTAAGGAATAGGGCAGTGAGGGTGGTCACGACTTGTCCCCAGTTCCAGGGCTGACTGAGCAGTGGAACTCACTAAGGAGCCATGTCTTCTGACTGGCCTTTTTCCCCAACATGTAGCCAGTCCTCCACCGGCTGCTTGATCCCTCCCAGAAAAACACTGGGCAAATCCACCCTCCTGGGCTTGGCACTCAGCACAGGGCCAGGCGCCCAGCAGGTGATGTTCTTGAAATAAGCATTCCTTAGGAGGACTGAAACAGGAAAAAAAAAAAAAATCCTTAAAGCATTTTAGGAGATTTAGCTAAAAGGAGAGGAGGACAGGAGCACGTGCTCATGATTTGAAGTGATAAAGACTCCTTAGAACAGCAAAAATGATGAGGCCTATGGATGTGTAAATGAGCCTGGGGAAGACTAATCAGAGGATAAATTACAAAACAAAACAAAACAAAAAAAGACCGTAAAACAAGTACCAGGGAGAACAGTGAATATTTCAGCGTCTTTTAGTTCATAAGAAATTCATGAGCAATATGTGTGGAAATTTTGTTGCTTTTGGTAGTGAGAAAGAATTGTAAATATGTATAATATGTAAATACCTTTTATAATAAAAGCCCATGAAGATAAATGAGGCTGTCTGCGGAAAAGCTGTGAGCTGTGTAAGATGCCAGAATTAACCGTCATCGCTAAGAAATTACCATAATGCTTACCGGGCACTGAAAGTTCTTCCCGCTCTGGAAAGATATGCATAAACACTAATCAGAAAATGTGCACAGATCCAGCGCCTCTTTCTTTCTCCACCCCGCTCCCGCTCTCCATCTCTTTTTTTTTTTTTTTTCCCAAGTGAGGAAGGCAGCTTTGGTGACGAGGCAGCAGAGATGGACCTATAGGGTTCAAGTATGACCTCCTTCCGCCACCCATGACCTGCACTGAAAGTGGACCCTAACCACCTCCAAGACGACCTCAAACTTTCTGACTGTGTTCTCTTTTCCAGCTTATCTCTCAACTGGGGCAAAAGACCCTGCGGGCAAAGCACTCCTGATGGGAACCGGACCTCCACTTCCAACAGTAAGGATTTCCCGCAGCGTGCAAGACCCCGCCCATGACTGACCCCAAGATAATGACCCACCCGACCTGCACGCCCACCTGCACCGCCAGCAGAGCTCACACACGCATCCCTGTCCCTCATTTTCCTCATGTAAATCTGGAAGTATTTTCAGCGCTCTGGAGACAGTCTTTGAGCAGCCGTCTGCGGTCTTCCATGGTGTCCACCTCCCTGAAATAAATTCCTTTTTTGTTTCCCCACCACTCCTCTCCCTGCCTTCAGAGTTTGACAGTGGAGCAGTGACCAGATCTGGTCTGTTTGGGGCCCGCGGAGCCAGGTGCTCTGCGCCTCTGCGGCACTGCGATCTTGGCCAAGTCATCCAACCCCTCTGGGACCTGCTTCCCTCATCTGTGAAATGGGGACACCACGCCTTCCTTCCTCACGTTTTGGGGAGAACCTAATGGTAGAACTAGTAAGGCTCTAGTAGTGCCACCTCCTTACCCGGCGAGCGGCAGCCAGCGGCCACTCAGCACCTAGGGACCAGAGAAACCGGCGCAGGACAGGTAGGTCCCAGGGGAAGCAAAGAGCTCTGCGGGTGGGCCCAGTCCCCGCCCAGGCACCCGCCCCTAGGCCACGCCCCGCTCAGCGCCTTGTCCCGCCCAATCCACCCGCCTCCAAGCCATCGCCACGCCCTGTCCCCGCCCCCACGCCCGGCTTTGCGCCGACGCCACACCCTGCGCCAAGTCCCACCCCGAGCTGGCGGAGCCCATGGCGCCTACGACTGGCCGCTGGGTCCCGGTCCTGTGGCGGGCCTGCAACTGGCTCATGGCCGTGTTCTTTGCGCTGGCGGCCTTGGTGCAGGTCAGCGCCCCAGCCCCGGGAGGCGGGAGGCGGGAGGCGGGCGAGCGGCTCCGCGGGCTCTGCAGGACGCCGGACTAAGAGCTCCGCCCCCGGCCTGGTGCGCGGTGTAGACTAACGGGGCGGGCCGTGTACACCGAGGACGGAGATTGGGGGTTACGCCCCGGGACCCCCACCCAGTCCCCCCCCCCCGCCGAGAGGCAGGCATGTCCACGTGACAGCCTGACCCCTCTGCCATGCCACGTGCTGGGAGCCAGAGGAGCCTGGGATGGGGACCCGGCGTGGTTCCCGGCGAAGGCAAGAAGCAGAAAGAACCCGCTGTGGCGCCCGGACCCTCTCCGGTCTGCTCTGGGACCCCCTTCGTAGGAGCTGTCCTTGTTCCTTAAGACTGGAGGCCCTTACTGTACTCCAGTCAGCCTGTGCGGTTCTGTGCACGGTCGTGTGTGCGCTCAGCCAGAGCCCCCTCAACCGCTGCGACCTGCCAGACTAGGTCTTAGTCCCATTTTGTACCCTCGCTGCCTAGTGCAGCGTCTGGCACAAAACACATCACTGCGGTGGTTCCCAGAGCAGGCCAAAGGGAGGGCAGGAGCACCACAGAATGACTGCTAATGCCGCATGTTTTGGCATTCCAGGTCAATGATCCCGATGCAGAACTGTGGATGGTGAGTATAAGCTGCTTTCCAACGTTTCCAGGAAATGCGCAATGACACAAAACACGGTTTTCTCTATTTGTTCCGCCTCCCTGCCTTATGTACATAAAAACTTAGAAACCAGGTCATTTCCCTAAAATATCAGGGGAGAGGAATCAGAGTGGTGGGTAAGGTAAGGAGTGTGAGCATTCAGAACTTTCCAGAGACATTAGGGGCCTTTCAGCAGTACTCCCTTTGAATAAAAATGGGCCAACCAAGGACACTTTTCTGAAGACACACAGTAGACCTCCCAAGGTCAACTGAGCCCTTCCTCATGAGTTTCTACCCAGAAACTCCAACAAACGTTCGACCATAAAAATGGCAGGCTTAGGGTGTGCGGTTCTTGTAATTCAGTGAGTTATGTTTATAAAAAGTAATTAAAGCCCATAAAATCTACAGATTACATTTAACCAATGTTCTTGGTTGAGCTATTTGGAAAAGAGGGAGATCATTCCACACATTTTCTGAAATGTGTGGATTTTGTCTGGTTTCTTTCAAAACAGATACATAAGACTGCAGTATCACCAATGAGATGATTTTCGGCTTTGGAATAATATTGACTATACAGATTAGCAACAAATGAAAGCATTTGGATCTGTAATGTAAAGTTCTGGTCAGTGTTTTTGGTGCAGTAGAACTCATTGTGACATTGCTTCTTGTCCGGACTCACATGCCCTTGCACTGAATCAAATTGCCTATTCCTCAGCACTCTGGTCTATATCCTGAGTTCCAAATATTATTTCACTGCAGACAAGTCTCCAATACCCAGCTTAATGTTGAATTTCCAACACTGACTTCTCGAACACGCCAAGGTCCTACAGCATCTTTCCCTCCTAAACCGCCACCTCCTCCTGACTCAGTCATTTCTGTCAACAGCAGAATCATCCCCAGGGTCATCCTCACTCCAGACCACAAGCATCTCTAACATCTCTCAGTTTCTTATCACCACCTTAGAGATCCTTTTAAAGAATAAAATGAAGAACAAAGCAATCCAGCAAAACCCAGTCTAGGTCTAGCTACTTATCTGTGAGGTTTGCGTGTATTTGACCTCCCACTCCATGCTCAGGTGTCACAGCACGAATAATAATAGACACTGTGTCCCCACAGACATCCTCCCTCCTCGCCAGTTTAACCCTCTGTCACCTCCCACATGGACTCCTGTAGTAGCTTCCTAATTCTTGGAGCTGCCTCTTTCCAGAATGGTCTTGGAAGCCCAATCTACCTATAATACTGTGTCTTGCCCCTAGAATTCCTGTATGTCATACCCACACTTTGAAGTCTGTCTCAAATGCTCTGTCCCTCAAAAAAATCCCTCTACCTCTGTACCATAGGTTCCAACCGTCCTTCCTTTGAACTTTTTAATGCTAACACATTCTGCTGTGTATTCGATTTGGTTCTGCACACACCAGCTCCTGGGAGAACAGGGACCACTTCTTCTTGGTGGTCCTCAGGCAACCTAACATTGAGCCTCCCTAGGACAGCCCTTCTGTATTGACTCTTGAATGAAAGCATGCACAGATGAGCCAGTAGAATGTAACGGGGCTTGGGGACTTGAGCCATGCCTGGCTCATTTTCATGTCCCCTACTTCCATCTTGCTCATGAAGGATGCCTGTATCAGGATGCATATGGGAGCAAATAACAGAAAATATGACTAGCATCAGGTTAGAACAGAGTATCTCACTTAACAAGAAGTCCAGAGACAGCTGCTTAATGCTGACGACATCATCAAAGACTTGGGCTTCCTGGGTTTCTTCTCTGCCACCTCCAGTGTGTGAGTGATATATCCCCTCATGTCTACAGAATGGCTGCTGCAGCTCCATACATCATGCCCAGACAAGAGCATCCCAAGTAGGAAGGAACAAGACAGGAGCAAAACAGTTTTTCCTCCTGAGCTTTCTCCCCCTTTTATCAGGGAGGAAATGTTACCCAAAAAGCCCTTCAGACAGTGTGTGCATACCAATATGGTTTATGGTCTAGGACCCATCCTGCTTGGTCAGTGTCTGCATATTGGCTGTTAAAATGTTCTGAGTATCAGCCTTGCCCCTGTAAGACTTATTACATTTCATGGCTGGAGCATGATCACCCCTAGCTGAAGACACTGGGAAAAAATATTGGCTTTTTCAGTTTTATAATGGCAGGTGGACAAAGGAGAGAGACATTAAGAATGAATGCCATGGCGGGGGTGCCTGCCTGCCTCAGTGGGTAGAGCCTGTGACTCTTGATCTCAGGGTGTGAGTCTGAGCCCCAGGTTGGGTGTAGAGATGACTTAATAAAGTCTTGGGATGCCTGGTGGCTTAGTCAGTTAAGCGTCTGCCTTAGGCCCCCAAATCATGAACCCAGGATCCTGGGATCGATCCCCCCATCAGGCTCCTTGCTCAGCAGGGAACCTGCTTGTCCCTTGTCCACACTGCCTGTCATTCCCCCTGCTTGTGCATACCTTCTCTCACACTTGCGCTCTCTCTCACAAATAAAATCTTAAAAATTAAAACAAAATTTTTACAAATAAAACAACAACAGCAAAACAAATGCCATTGTACTCAAGAACTATATAGTGAATGAAATATTGTAAAATGATACTCTGGGTTTAAAAAAAATACACCAACATAAAAATAAAAGATCATTATAAGTGGGTTCTACTGAGTTCATTATTGAGTATGCTGTGTATTATTTTACTTTATATACTAGAAACCATTATTTTCAGTCTCTTGGTCCTCAAAAAAAATTTATCTTATTTGAGATAGAGAAAAGCATTTAGGGATTAACATGGCACAACTCCCGTGAGAAACCACTGTTTAGTTCAAAGGGTTATTTTGTTCATGTGGTTATAACAAAAGATATAAGAAAGTCTCAGATCCCTTAATCTGTTAATGACAGATATCTGATACATTTGAGTACACACTTTTAAAAATCTCTGCCAAACCTTTCTTATAGAGAGCACAGTTAAATGTTGTATGGTGTGTGTGTAACTTCTCTCTCTCTCTCTCTCTCTTTCTCTCTCTCCCTCCTCTTTCTCAGTGGCTAGTCATGTAGGTTTTCATTAGGAGAAAACTACCCCCTTCCTGCTCCAGCTGTGGCCCTCAGAACAACCACAGCAGCGCCCCCTGGGAGCTTGTTAGAAAAGCAGAATTTGGGCCATACCCCAGACCTCTAGAATCAGATCTACATTGTGCGGGTATAGCTCAGTGGAAGAGCATTTGACTGCAGATCTACATTTTAACAAGGTTTCCAGGCGATTCATATACACACTGAACTTTGGGAAGCCCTTGTCTTACCCCTCAGTAGCATGAACGCCTTCCTGTGAGAGATGACCAGACTTAGCAAATGTCAGTCCTGGCCCTCATTAGGGCTGGAGCAGGAAAGATGGACACAGTGTCTGTAATCCAGAAGCCCTCTCTCCCCGGGATCCAGACAGACATGTTGCTGGGGTGAAAACCAATCACTTAACGTGTGCAGCTCTGACAATTCCCAAATAAGGGAAGACGTCAGATGTGCGTGTCACTGTGGATACAGTGAAGCGGCTGCATTTCTTGGAAACCCACCACGTCTCCTACTCTGTTTGCTCTCGACCCACAACACGCTCGCCATAGCAGATCTGGCTGGAGCCCATCTGCCGAGCATGAGGCTTGAAAATGGCCTCCACAGGGCCCGTCTTCCCAACTCCAAAACAGCTTGTTGGCAGTTCCAGAATGAAGAGCCCAATCTAGCCTAATGCAGACACTGTCGTTCAGTGAGTCTGGGGTCTCACCATCTTTCTGTGCTTCCTAGATCCCTCTGCACACCCCCCAGATCAGGCATACTTCTAACCCCTGTCATCTCCCTCTTTGCTAATAGGTGGTGTACATGATACCCGCGCTGCTGAGCCTGCTTGTGGGACTTAATCCTCTTGTCACGGGTATGGACCCTGGATTCTGCACGGACACCGAGCAAATCCGATTTCTGACAATAAGGACAGAGTCCCGGGAGAAAAACAGGGCCCTCCAGGTCTCCTCATTGCTGATACCAATAAGGACTAATTCTATATTTAGATCACCCTCACCCATCTTCAGGCAAACTTCACAAGGACCTGTCACACCAAGACAGCCTTTTTAGCAGCTCAGAACCCAAGATCACTTGTGCTGGAGTGGAGCAGGGGTTCTGCAGTGTAGCCCATGAGAGAGAAGGGCTCCAATCACCACACTGATCTCTCACGCTAAGGGAAAATCAGCAGCAGAGCGCAGACCGTGTGTCTCTCTAGTCAGTGGCCATCAGTGTCCAGTACCACTCCCAGGGACTACCTTCTTATTCTGAATCCATTCAATACGTTCATATATGGCCTGCTATTTACTTAGGGAAGCGGTTTATAATGTCCATACAAATGTCTAGGTTTTTCATTCGTCCCTTTTGCTCTCCTAACCTCCCTCTGTACCGTCATAGTATATACAGTGATTTACTGCATGCTTTTGCGTGTGTTTCCCCTGCGAGGCTGTAAGCCTCTTAAAAGGGGGTCCATGTCTAGCCCATCTTTGCCCAAGCCTCGCTGAAATACAGCCAGGAAGATGGTAGGTACTTAATGCTTGTTGAACGTAAATGAACGGCTATAAGAGGCTTTATCACATATTTTCCTGCTCCTTGGAATAAATATATATATCTCCATCCATCCATCCATCCCAGGTGGGTATACAGGTTAAAAAAAAAAAATTGCTTAAAATAGCTGGTTTGTACTACCTACAGGCTGCCTACCTCAACACAAGGCGAAACATAGTGGCTTTGATTTTAACAGCCCTAGAAACTCTCAACAAACCTTAAGTTGGACAGTTTTATACCATAAAATGGTATCTTATAACCAAAAAAAGTACATTTTACATTGTGTGCTAATATTTTCTTATTACTAGGGACTGTCAGTCCTGACGGGTTACTCTCCGCTGTCAGGAAAAGAGCACCCTGGCCAGTGGGGCTGTCAGAGTTCTCAGGGCCTTAGAGGAAAGACCGGTGGTTCCCAGCTGTGTGGGGAAAACTCCTGTCCCCCGGATGCACGAGCTTAGTTCGGGCTTCGTCAGTTGCAGGCAAGGAAAAAACTCAAACGGGCTGTGAGCTACAAAGGAGATGTACTGGGACACTTGAGGGAGAAAGTCAGCGGTGCTGGCTTCACACGCGGCTGGTGGCTCAGAACTTGAACTTCCCTGCACCTCGCAGCCCCGCCATGTGCCGCTCTGACTTCAGCCCCGGGCCCCTAGATGGTAGCCCGGCAGCTCCAAGTTCACTTCTTTGTGACACTCCATCCAACAGAAGATAGAACCTGCTCCCTAGATGGCTAAGCAAACGTCTCAGAACTGAGCTGTGGGCCCTGATTTTCATCTGCTCATTCGGAGCCAGATCACGCTTGCTACAGGAATGAAATGCATTGGCTGATCAAGCTAAGGTTCAAAGGTCTGGGACATGTGGCCTGGGTGTGTGGGAAGGGTGGATCCCCAAAGAAAATAAAAGGTAGTCGTCACAGAGAGGGGACACGTTGGGCAACCAAAACACTAAACATTCACCTAGGTTTATTGCTACTGCTTTAACCTCTGTGATGTCCCTCAACACAAAACTTAAAGAAACCTAGCTTTTTTTTAAGGACGCTCCACACCCAGCATAGGGCTTGAACTCATGACCCAGAGATCAAGAGTCACATGCTCTGCTGAGCCAGCCAGACGCCACCCCAGCTTTTTCTGAAGGTTTACCTGAAAGCAGACTATGGCAGAGCAGGTACAAAGAGATCGTTTTTCTCTGGAATGTGATTCCAGGATTAACAGCTCCAGAATCTCTGTTTTTAGGCAATTTTATTTGGAAGAGTGTCTCCACAATACACATATTCTTTTGTATCGCGTGGGCTGTCGGCTTGGCGGGCTACCTCTGGCTTCACTCCCAACAGAGCATCTTGCATGAGGAAGAAGGCAGGTGAGCCGTGACTTTTGCTCCTTGGAAGGGGTGGGGTAGAAGGGAGAAATCCATTCCTCTGTAACCCCTTATCTGCACCACGATGACTCAGCTCCCCCAACTACACCATGAGGAGCAGGGGAGGTATTACCTCCTTGATAAGCTGAAGAAGCAGGAAGTGAACCAGGATTCACACCCAGCACCGTGTACCACATTCCGCAACCACAGTCAGAGGCAGTCAGCATGCACGTTACATTACTGTCTGGCAATTGACCTTCACTCCCTTAACAATGAACGAGCAAGGACACCATACAGTAATACTCCGTCCAGTCTCATGAGGTGAAAGCTCTGTCAGCACTCTGATTTAGTTGTGGTTCCGGCCAAAATCTCTACAAGTGTGATCAGCCAAATCAGAGGTCAGTATGTTAAGTCCACCTCTGTCAGCCTTGCCCTGCTATGTCCCACGTCATCTCCTCCCTTTGTCAAGGCCATGTGTTTCTATTTCATCACCTCTTCCTTTGCTCCCTGCCATCTTTGACTCCCTGGCCTCACGCATAGCCCCTTGTCCTTCCTGCCCATCCTACTGCTAACACTGAGATCTAGAGACGTGGAAGGTAATCAGCCCTGGTGAAGTGTTACTTTGTTACAGGCCCTAATCCTTGGGAAACTGGAGAGCAAATCAGGTTGGGTCTGCCCATGGGACCGTCAACCCAATGGGCTAAATTACCTCTACCACCTTGAGGCCCACAAGTTAAAATGGTACCAGGGCCAAACAGGACTTTTCTACTCTGTGTAAAAGGTGTGTGCTTTTAACACACACTCCTAGAAGCATAGACCTACCCCAAAATTATTAGCCTGACTCATCTTACAAATCATTCCTCTCCCCTAAGATGTGACCCCGTCTTTTGCAGCAGGCGTTCCATTATTTATGGATCTGAGCTCATCCTGACCAACAGAGAACACTCTAAAACAATGTAAAATTGATGCCTGATAAATCTGGGATAGTTTTCTTGGTTGTATTATACTCCTCCCAGTGACCTGAAATAAGTGATTTATTTGTGTTTTCATTTTGTTGGTTTTTTGTTGTTGTTCACTTAGAAGTTGGGGGAAAAGGATGGCGTTCACATCTGTCTCATAAGATGAAACTTATTTTCATATAAGCCTTTAAAGTATCTGAAAAAAAAAAGGTAATTTTTGAGTCATAGCCAGACTTGAGAATATTCTGTAGATACTGTGTATCTTGAGGGAAGTCTTCCAATAATCAGCAGAAGCTAGTGGTCATGGAGAGAATGGGAGGATAGGCATCTCACTCATAGCTACTTCAAAAATCTGAAATGTGTGCTATTTTACAGGGAGCTGTTTGGTCTGCTGATTATCACAGTATGGATGGGCCTGTGTCACAGTTCATCAAAGTAAGCTTTCAACTTATTAGCTAAAATCAGATGTCTTCAAGGTTGGTCAGATCAGACAGGCAAGTCAAAGATAGCCTAACTGGAGAATTATACCTAATATTTAAGGGAAGAATAATGCCAGCCTTTAACAAACACCTCCAGAGAACAGAAAAAGAAGAAACACTTTATAACTCATGTTATAAAAACAGAATAATCTTGATACCAAGACTTGACAGGAACATTTTAAAAGGGGGAGGGAAAGCAAAGAAATTATGAGGCAGTCTCACTTATGACTACAGATTGAAAAATCCTAAACAAAGCATTAGGGAATCAAATCCAGCAATATATAACCCAACCACCAAGTTGGGGTTTATTCTAGGAACACAGTTTAACATTCAAAAACCAACCAGTGTTTTCTACCATATTAACAGAAAATAATAAACTATCAGGAATAAACTAACAGGAAAAAATAAATTATCTTCTCAATCTATTCAGAAAGAGCATTTGGTAAGATTCATTATCTGTTCATAAGAGCTGTTAGCAGGTGTAGAAAGGAACTGAACCTGGGACATGGTGTCAGCACCAAAGCTTGAGACTCAGTGGTGAGCAGCTGAAAACTTTCCTTCTGAGATCAGGATCAGGAAAGGGTTAGCCCCCACTGCCACTTCTGCTCAACAGTGCTCTAGCTAGGATCGTAGCCAGTCCAATAAGGCAAAAAAAAAGAAATAAGAGGCACAACAATGGGAAAAGAAACATGTTCATTATCCACGGCTGACATGATTGCATATGCCAAAAAATCAAACAGGGTCTAAAAAGTTACAGAGCGAGTGAATTTAGCATGATTGCCACACACCGGGTGAATGTACCGAAACCAGCCGCATTTTTATCAACAAGTAACAAAAGGATAAAAACAAAAAGTTAACCAGAAATAATAACATCAAGAAATCAACTCCCTAGAAGTAAACTTAGCAATGGGTAAAATCTCTATAAATAAGACTGCAAGACATTGTGGGAGAAATTAAAGAAGATCTGAGTAAGTGAAAGGATAAACCTGTAAAAGGTTTAAAAATAAACCGGTAAAAGGATAAACTAATAAAAGACTAGACTCTAGGAACAGGTCCACACACAAGCAGACCCTTGACTCAGGACAGAGGAAACAGGGCAGGTACAGCAAAGAAAGGCAGACCTCCGAACACCGTGCTGGATCGATGGAAGCCCACACAGACGAACTTCCCTAGCTCACTTTCATAAACGTCAGTTCCAGGAACTCTAAAGTGAGATGCAGAATGGGAAGGCTTTTAGAGAAGATAACCCCAAATCTCCAAGACCTTGGGCAGGAAAAGCTTTCTTAAACACGAAACAGAAATCATTAGGAAAAGATCAATTTTTTTTTTTTTTTTAAAGATTCCAGTTATTTATTTGACAGACAGAGATCACAAGCAGGCAGAGAGGCAGGCGGAGAGAGAGGAGGAAGCAGGCTCCCCGCCGAGCAGAGAGCCCAACGCGGGGCTCGATCCCAGGACCCCGGGATCACGACCCGAGCCGAAGGCAGCGGCCCAACCCACTGAGCCACCCAGGCGCCCCGAGGAAAAGATCAATTTTAACACTGGCCAATCAATCAGTGACTTCAGTTCCTCAAAAGACATCATTATGCGAGTGGGAAAAGCTATTTACAACACCTCCAAACAACAAAGATTTGCACTAAGAATGAAGATCTCCTGAGGGTGCCTGGGTGGCTCCGTCGATGGATTTTTATTGATAATAATTCCTGTGTGTCTTTATAGGAATCCGGTTGGTGGAAGAATTCAGTTAGCTACTGCCATGGTAATCGCTCTCCTCCCATTCATCTCTTGGATCTACATCTACATAAACAAGGAGATGAGGTCCTCCTGGCCAGTTCACTGCAAGACAGTAATTTAAATGAAGTCAAGAATTCTCCTCTTCAAATGAGTATTGTTAATCAATTGTTTATAGACATGGTTGTAAAGGACCAATTTCCTAGGAGTTTATTTCAGGTAATTTGAGTGAATATTAGAAGGGATTAAAAAAAATTCCCAAGAACTTTTCAAGGATGCCTGCGACACAGCACGGGGATTGCATGGGACTGGGAAGAGACGGGGTCTGACATTCAGTCATGTCAGTATAGCAGAAAAGGCAGAACAAAGTTTCAGAAATAAAAATTCTAACTCAGCTTATCACTATCTAAATGACCTGGGCAAATATGGGAACCTCCTGGTGGATGTCTTTGTCTGTAAGACAGGATTAATGCCAGATCTCCTACTCACTTGTGCAGTTGCAAGGATTAAACTGGAGAATATGAGAGCACTCCCAAAATACCAAGTGCTTATAAGGGGCAACCACTGATTAAAACAGAGCAAAGTGGGGTTTAGGTGATAGGATAGACACAGAGGTTCAAGAAAGGGCTATACCCCTGCACTGAACTCACTATATGGGACCAGCGCCATGCCACAAACTAAATGAGGATGTGAAATGAACGAGCGTGTCTTAGAAAGAAAGGAGGGGGTAGGTAGAATAAAGGAATTTGGGACCAAAAGGAAAGAGGGAATATAAACTACATTGTAAATGAAAAATAAGACCGAAATCTATACATTTTTTTTGAAATGAGTGCCAAAGGTAACCCAGGGGAGAAGACCATGTTGGAGCTGTACTCTCCAAAGTCGTAAACGGCAGGACCACAACCATGATGCACGCGCACACACACACACACACACACACACACACACAACATGGGAACATCACTATGGTGCTTACATATGACATGAGAACATTACGTGATAACATCACCGTAACATGTTGCACTGAGCACCTGAAATGTGGCCAGATTAAGGAAGTAAAATCTTCCTTTTTTCATTTTAATTTTAAAACATGTCAATTCAATTATTAGAAAACTTATAAATGTGTTTGGAACACTGAAGTGTGTTTGGAACTGGACATGCGAATCTACTTCTTTAACTGCAAGTTTTATACCTCAGTATAGATCAAGTATTTCCAATGAGAATGTAGTATCAGTGGATGGCTTATTAAGTATAAAATAGATCCTGCATTTTAACAACATTGTACAAAAATAATGTAAAATATTCTGATGTTGATTATATGCTGAAATGGTATTTTCATATATTTGACTTTAATATAAAATATATCATTAAAATTATTATGTTTCTATTTACTTTATAAAATGTGACTGCTTTTAAATTACTTCTGCGGCTCATGTCATATTTTTGTTGGACGGTGATTGTTTTATGTCTGCTAGCATCCACGTCTGGAGTCAAGATTCCATCCCATGAGATTTAGGAAATATTTCACTCAAAAACTATGACTACCAACCATATATCGGGAGAGTGGAAATAAGTTAGGCCATTTGTCTATTTTTATAGCCTTTAATACGATATTAAGTATTCTATAAACATTTGCTAAAGGAGGTATGTATGGTTTTTATTTGTTTTACACAATAGCCACTGGACAGGCAAAGTTCTCTATTAAGGTTTAGATGAGGGAAAAGGAAAGAAAAATTTAGTGGATATTAAAGCAAGTAATGTGAAATTTATTTTAAGGGTCAGTCAAGTACAGATAAAAGACCCTGTGTTCCAGGGAACATTTAGCTTCCATGATACGGTTTGTACATCTATTTTAATGTAACTACTAAAATCACCCGTGAAAAAAAACGGATTCACTTGCAAATTCTACTAGGATCTACCTATCCTCCAAGGAATGCGTGATTCTGTGCTTAAAAGACAGAAATGTTCCAATTTTAAAAAAAGGAAAAAAGGGATGTTCAAAATATACTTTCATCTGCACCTCTGGAATCACACTATGAATTCTGTGATTCTATTCTACACAATCCCTTTGCTACGTCGCAAGCACTGCCTCCTGAAAGGGGTCTCTGTTGCACAGATTGTTGCACACTCCAGCTCCCAACTGAATTCTGGTAACCTCGAGGTCTCTGTTATTTATCCACGCCTCTGCCTTGCCACCAGTCTCTCTTCTTCCCTCTGGCACTCCTCTCCGTCAGCCTCTCCTTATCGGCTGCTGGGCCTGCGACACAGATCTAATCACAGCTTCGCCCGCAGAAACGATGGCTCCTTGCTGTCTGACAAGCCCAGTCCTAACTGTGGGCTCATCATTCAAGGCTCTTTACCACACAGGCCTGCTTCTCGCCACAACCGCAGGCCCCTTTCCGTGATTCTTCAGAGTTAGCTGTCACCCCTAAATTCACATGCCCTTTAACCTCCGCTCACACTATTCTGCCCACCTGACGAAACCATTTTCCTCCTCCTTCAAGTCATGATCAATCCCGTTAAACTTAAACTCCCCCACCACCCCCTCCACATTCCAGACCCTTCTTTACACATTTGGGATCTATGGATAGTAAGGTCGGTGACTGCAGGGAGCACGTGACAGTCGCCTCTCTGGTGGGCGGAATCACGACCCTCAAGGATATCCAGGCCCTGGTCCCCAGAACCAGGACCGTTACTTGCATCACAAAACAGACTTTGCAGATACAATAAAGTTAAAGATCTTGAGATGGGGAGATGAGCCTGGAGGTAATCACAACTGTTCTGATAAAACGCAGGCGGACACAGACGGAAGTTTAAAGAGGCTGCCTTGCTGGTCTGAAGATGGAGGAAGGGCCCTTGGGCCAGGAATGGAATGCAGGAAGCCGGCTAGGAAGCAGATTCTGCCATGGAGGCCCTGAAGGGGGGACCACACCTTGAGCTCAGCCCAGGGAAAACCGTTCAGACTTCTGGCTTCCAGAATTGTAAGAGAGCATGTACGGGCTGTCTGAAAATACCAAAGTGGTGGTCATTTGCCACAGCAGCCAGAGAACACGAACACACCTCTGTTCCCCCAGGGCCTGGGCACTCGGCAGGCACCGGACGCTGACTAGTACTGCTTTCACCTCTCCTGATGTTTTTAGGCCCTGAATCAAACCTTCTCTACATTCCAAAAGTCCCTTTGCTATCTAGTAAGTGTTGCCACAGATAAGCCTTAGCACATAGGACTACCCAGTTAACGTGCCCCATTTGTTTAAAAAGGGAGTCAAGAGTAAATTCATTTACCCCTGTTGTCTCTAGCTGCTGCCCAAACGGACCACACACCGGCAGGCACACAGCCGCACCGGCCCTTGGTCCTGCTTTGCTTAGAATCACAAGGCCACCACGTGACTTCTCGGGAGGCCCTTCTCATGGCCTCACGCGGGAGACCACACGTTCACCTGTGAAAGAACTTCTCTGTGGTTTACACAACAGGATATAAGCCGACAAATGTACAAACAAACATGACAGGTATTCGGAGCAAAAAACGTCCAAAGTTCATTCACACGGCAGGATACATAGAGAAAGCTTACCTGAGCTGGTTTTATTTTTTTATTACGAATTTTAAGTTACATGTTAATACATGGATACATCCTCCTTGTAAAAAGTAAAAAAATTTCAGATAAGGCTAAATGAAGTCAGTTTTGAGAAGTACGCCACCCCCCTCTCCTCCCTGGATGACTCAGGCGGCTTTCATTCATTCTGTTTCCAATCCTCGGTGCTGGATAGATTACCCAGAAGTGACATTTCAGAATATCTCAGGAGCTAGCACACACTGAGGCCATAAATACATTTTGTTATGCAAATAGAACACTACACAATCAGCCTGAGGACCTCGGGAGGGGAAGGAGAGACAAAAACACAGCGCTCAGCCACCACTCTCCCTCTACAGCCGTGAACAAGATAAATCAGACTAAAGCTGGATTTCCCGCTTATAATTCATAATTCTGTCTGGAACTCTGCCTCTACCTTTCAGCACCATTTTGTCAGGATAGACATAAACAGTGCCGAAAGCCTGGCTGTCCGGAGCCGTTTCAATAACCCCTTCTAGATTGATGTGGTGCACACCGAAGGGGTCCTCAGAGTAGCCACCGTCGTGAGTGTGACCGGCGAAGAAACACACCACACACTTGTGAGACCAAATGACCGCCAGGGCGTCTCTGTAATTCCAGGCCAGGCACACACTGTCGGAGGCCTCTGGGTAAATGGGAAGATGGCCTGTTAGTTAAAGAGAAGAAGAGTTATGAGCCAATGAGGAAATGTCTCTTTCATCAAAATCAATGGCTAAAAACTAGTACTTAGGGAAAAAAAAAAAGGGGGATATTGCTACTTATTTCAAATAGATCAGAGAGAAGAACTAGATCATCTCCAGCCACATCTCTGCAGCAAACGGAAGAGGGAGGCAGTCCACGTCCATGGGGAGAGGCCACTGTCCAGGCAGAATCCCTGAGATCCCTACGGCCTAAAACATCCGAAGAGTCACAAACATCGAGAAAAACTGAGGGCATCCTGTGCACAATGGCGAGCAAGGGCGGCCAGGAGCCAGGCAGATACCATGCTGGAGTCTCTTAACATGAGTCTCTTAAACATGAGTGCTAGGTACGCAGAAAGAGATACCCCTAAATTTAAGAACAGTTTGGAGGTGGGTCATGGGTTATAGGTCATTTAGACCCTCAGTGCTTTAAAACGGATTCAAACACCTCCATGAGGTCTCAGGAGCCGGAGCCATTTTACAGATGAGAACGATGAGAACAACGAGGTAGAGCAGGGAGGTTTTATACTCAGTCCCACAGGACATATGTGGAAGTAGAACGAAGAGGATTTCGAATTCCTGACGCCAAGACACACAGGAGGTCACATCACGTCTCACTGTGGAGCGCAGGCACAAAGCTCCCTCCCTCAGCTTTGCTTCTTGCCCTGAAATCACTTTCCTATTTTGGTACTATTTATTTGTTACCGAAGTTTATTCTGAATTTTACTTATGAGTATTTTTACTGTTTTGTATCAGTTTGTAATACAAGTTACAAAGGAGGGTGTTAGCAGATCCCTAAAGAGTCAAAGGCATCAGAAGAACTTACTAGTATGCACAAGCACGCACGCACACACACACGCACACCACGACCACTCTTGAAGCCGTGATGATGGCTCAGAGTTCAAAAGGGCCCGTGACTCTCCAGATCAAAAGGTCACACTGGACTCCTCTGACACAGTGACTGCTCCCTCCCGCCCCCACTCCTTGAAACACTGGGCTGCCGGGACACCACTAGTCGCCCACGTCTTCCTCCAGCCTCAATGGCCATGAGTTCTCATTCCCCTCCATGGTCTCTATGTCTCTCCACTTCCTACTGGAAGTGCCTGAATGCTTGGACCTTGGGCTCCGCTTCCCTACTAACCCCTAAAGGCCTGGTGATCTAGTAATTTCTCAAATCTAGTAAAGTGATTGGTGATCTAGTGAAGTCTCGAATGTCTCCAGGATTCTTCCCACTCCCACATGTTTATACCCAGCCCAGACTCCCACTCAATTTCAGACCCAACATCCAAACTGCTTTCTCAGCATCTGCACGGATGCCTGACAGGCGTCTGAAACTTAACCTTTCCATGGCCAAACCCCTGAACTCCCCACCGCGCACCCGCTCCTGAGGCAGCACCCCGTATGTCAGCGAAGAGCGTGCAAGCCTTCCAACTGCATGGCCAAAACCCCAGAGGTGAGGGCAAAATGACCTCTCAG